ATAATAATGATAATATATTTTGTCCAACACGGTAATATTTATGATACAAATGTATATGATAATCTAGGTAGAGACTTCTAATAAAGTCTTATTATGCACGGTTAACTGGCAACGTCCACACTTGCCTTTTCCAATGTAACTGGTTATATACAATCAACATGCCGTTCTTAAATATAGTTGTCAGGTAATGAATATTAGATATACAAAAGAAATATTGTTGTGTAATCTTTTTTGTGTTAGAAAAATGTATGGTTGTTCTTACTTGAATTTTGATGTATAAACATTGTTCCTGGTACCATTTTGTCATCAACATTTGCTAAACAGGTTTCGATTGTACAAAATAAAACGAGACTGACCAGACATAGCAGAGTCACGTGTTTAAAACCCGCCATTGTTGTGCCTAAAACTTACTGTGTCTAGGTAATCCTATTTTCTAAAATCTTAAATCTTAAAAAAGACTACATGTAGAACATAATTGAGCGAATTTTATGAAACCAGGAAGCCTGAAGCCTGGACCTTACGTTTGCTAAAACAATTAACTTTTATAGAATACAGGAAGAAAATTGTATATCTTTGTGACAAGGATATTAAAGGCGGTTCAATACGCTTTACAAAACATTTCTTACTTCAAAAGATAAATTTTAATGAATACTTAAAAAGGAACGTATATAATGAATGAAATAGTAAAACATTGTATTTCCCCACAAATTGTAAACTAACAATTATTGTTAACATTTGCTACACTACATTAAGGGAAGATACATGAGTCATTCAATAAAAGTGACACTATGTACATTAAATTCAAAATGGTGAGTGCACAGGTAAATATCAAAATAACTTTACAATTTTTCATAATTGTTTTCAATTTTGTATTCTACGTCACAAAAAATGATCTGATTCAAAAGCTCACGTGACACACTAAAGTTCTATAAATATTCCTCGTGATCTATGGGTAACGTGCAATTGATAAAAAGTGTGAGACAAGCTTTCTTATTTTAGACAGTTTCTATATATTATCCTTATCATTTATTTTTTTATTATCATCTTTTAAATGTAAACTAGATCTAATGCAGTTCAACTTAACAATGAAAAAATGAGCATAATGTCACTTTGTCACAATGTGAAATATTTACTTTTAGCAAACGTTTTGGTTTCTTTATACTTTTGATTACATTGATGTACATCATATTCAATTTAATTAAAACTAATGCAAATAATTAATTATATTTAAATTATAGTAGGTAAACTTATCACAAAGGTTAATGATCCAGATGTTTTTATTAATTTAATTTATTTATTCATTCATTCATTCCAGTCTTATATATGCACAACTTCATATAAAATACATGAATATAATCATTCTATCAGAACTATAAGATACTGAAATATCTTAAATATAACAACACAAACATCAATGGTCAGTATGAAAACACAGCAAATGTTAAACAAGATCATATACGGCTACTACATGTATTAGATATTCAGAGTATACTTGTTTCAGTGACTGAGAAATGATTTGTAATTTACACAGGTGATAAAATACCAAATCATTATATGTCAATTTTAAATATGAGTATTAAATTTAAACACTGGGAATGTTTTATCTGTATGTTTTAAAATATATGTAATAATAATGAAATTGTTGCCCTATGTACAAAATAAATTTTTTATATATCACACAAAGTTTTACATCGTCGGAACGCCACATGTATCGCTTTCGCTGATCTACACTGAGAATGAAAGTTTCATTGCTCAGTTTTAATATATCACAGCAGGGATTTGCGAGGATTAAAACATTGTCTGGGTGAGATAATATAAACACAAATTTAACAGTATCTGACATATCATAAAACACATTTACAAATTAAGCCCTCTGATACACAACACACGTATTTGAGCATATATAGGACATTTTAGTAAAACATACATTTATGTTTCAATGCAAACTTTCAAAATAAACATATTCACAGATACAGGTACGTTAAAGATATACTATGCTCATCCTTGAGTAAAGTATTTTACTCACAGAAATTTATTGAAATCTATGAAATTCTTACTGAATATGTCCAGTTTGAATATAAAGAATGAATAAACTAGGTACTGGAAGCCGTTTTCCTTAATACAGGTCAAGCAAAGTTAATGTTTTCTTTAAAAAAAATGCCAGTTTTTTATTGACACTATACATGTATATGTATTAACATTGTGATCAACTTTAGTGTATAGAATTTAAAACATAACATATCGTTTTTGTTTGAAATCAAAACGTTTATTTTATATTTAAAAAAAAGACTGTGTAGCAAGTATCAATATTTTCCAATACTAAATTTGAGAATAGTATATCTTTAACATAACTCCCTGTTCTATTCTGAGTGTGGCAATATCTCTTCTGAATTTGGACAGCGCAGGCCTATGAGAGTATGGTAATTGTAATTTAGAATCATAAAAATTGATAAAATTAACCGCTTAAATTGAATATGGAAAATGAAAACAATATTTGTTTTGAATATGGAAAATGAAAACAATATTTTTTTTGCGGATATTTTCGGTCATGCAACTGATCGATAATAATTGCTTTCCAACACATATCACATTAAACAGCAAATATATTTGTACCTTTACCAGTATATGGGAAGAACCTCATTGCTCTGTGGTGAACAGCATTAACATATAAAAAGACCGCACACACGGACGAAACATATATGATAATGGTAATATATTAATAAAACAAAGATCATAGTATATAAACGGAATCAATGTACGCTGTCTTGCAAGCCTATACAGTTCAATGGGTACCCTGTCATACACGCACGTGTAATTTTCCGATCATTTTACCCTTCTCGAGAGGCTATATATTTCAACGATAACAGGAAGTAGACTTGTCCAACTTTTCGGCCCTTTCCGCCAAACATCGGATCACTTATAGGAACCGAAAGTACAAAATGTCTACCTGTTGACATAAACTCGGATTTGGTTATAATTGTATAACAGAAAGCATTTTTTTTATTGTCAGACATATTTTCAATCATAGTTTACCGAAATAGACGTTTATTTTTCTTTAGATGTTAAATATATACATTCTGTTGATGTTTACATTTAAAACCACATGGTAAACGTATTGAGTTCGAGGTTATTATGAATAATAGCCGGGATGCTCCGATTGGTTAATAATAAGTTTATTTGCAGAAAATAGTTTTCACAATACACAGAAACAGCCAGCAAAAAGTACTTGTGATACGTTTAAAATGTTACACTTTTTAATTGTGTCCACATATCCCCAGGAAAACTATTATCAGATTAGTGAATACAATAATGATTTCACCACAACATATGTGTTAATAAAATGGCACATGTCAATGTTTGTGGTTAAATCTATTGTTATTCAAATAAAATTTTAACCTTTACCTTTTCGAAGCAATCATTTCCCCTTAATCTTTCACAATTCAGTGTTAATTTTGCACAGTTTCTTAATTACTTCAACATTCCTGTGTTACGGGATATACGGTAATCATTATGCAATGCTTAATCTTATGCTCACCAATTTCTCGATTTAACACATTTTCTTTTGTAAAGAGCACAATCGAACAAAAACAGGTCGGTAAATATATCTGTTAATCGATCGCTAAGTGATTTACTAGACCGCTTTTAACAAAAGAGACGGTATATTATAACTGTTACAATTTAATCGCACACTTCGTCAGAATCAAATTCAACATTCAAGGTCTTTCAACTTTGAAAGACCCTGAATGCGTTAATGCAGAAATACTGATAAAATGTATTCTTTCGGTAGTGCTTTCTTACCTACGCAGAATGTGCTTGCGCGAAATGCTTGTATCATATACAGCCAGTATCTTTATTTAAGACAGTCAATCTTTGTGAAAAATTCAAGCCCCGTGCGTAAGATTTTCGCTTTAACAACAAGCTCCGTATCACCAAATATCAATGTAACCTCATTTTTGTTGTCTTCACAGGTTTCTCCGTCTGGGAATTCTATTGACAGAACGCCAAGCTGTTCGCAACCTGGGTCAGTAACAAACTGTGGATAGGGATCGCTGGTACAATAAACGGATATCTCCGCCATACGAGGATTCGTTGGAATATAAACTCTACGTACTTCGTGACCAACAGGATGTCCATCTCCTACTTCAACAAACTTGTCAAAAACGTTATGAATAACATTTTCATCTGACTCTTTATCCGCAGTCGACTGGTTATCACCTTGGCTACCGCCGTCGCGACAGCGCTGACTTCTGCCGAACCTCATACCAAAATCAAATTCGTTGAAGTCATCATCTGACCCCGAGCTGTATACGGCTTCGAGATCATTGAATGAAATATCGCTAGAGTCGTCACTCTCTGAACAATTGTTTGTTAATGAATAATTGTCCTCGTTATCAGAATCAGGAAGTGATTCTTTAACATTGATTCTCACTACTGAAACGCCATATGTATACTTCATTACTCTGGAAGACACAACATTAGGCATATGTCCGAACCGAACCGCTCCTTTAAGTACAGCAAGACCAGCCTCATTGGGTATTATAATGGTTTTGTTCGGAATATTTCTTTTCATTTCCTCGTGAACAAGCTGGCATTCCCCAAACCCACCAACGAGTAATATTCTCTGCACATACTTCATTTTTCTTTCAACAAGGAGATGTTTAACATGGGCAACTATTTCGTTTAATGGGGCTTCAAACCAACCTCGAACAATCGATACGTCAAGTCGCAGTTTATCGCTTGAGAATGTAACTTTGTCAGCTAAACCCATATCTCTGACTTTCCCTTTTAAGTCAGAATTTTCGACCTCTCTATATATTTCTCTGAGCGAAGCAGACACTCTGAATGTGATTTTCCCCTGTGAATTTGTTGTTATATTGCGTTTCTTTATTTCAAATTATCACTTGGACATCAAAGTAGTCAGCCATTTGTTCCTTTTTAAACCTCTCCATCGTCCTTTCTCCAAAAAGATTTGTCAGCCAGTCAAAATAGTTCTTGTCGACAGCAGTACCACCCCAAGGACCACCGCTTGCTTTGTGAATTTCTTTAAGAGAGCCATCTGCTTTCTTTTCATGGACTGATATGTCCGCTGTTCCTCCTAAAATATATATGTTAAAGCATATAGCATACACTATTCAAAGCTATTTAAGAAAGTTATGTTCTCTCATTTACGAAGAAAAAATAACAGATGTTTTACCTCGTAAGTCAACGACCATGTACTGGCATCCGACATCAGACACAGACTTCTTAAGATCAGTTGATACCATTTGACACCAAATCGAGGCCGCCTCGGGTTCAAGAGAAAGTTTCAAACGTGTTGAATCCAGTCCTGCCTGATGATTAATGCAAATATATGTCAGAAATAATCTTAATCAACTACAAATGAAAAATGTTTCGTCAGATAATTATTGCAAATGTATTTTCTCAATAGTCATTAGACCAAATGTTTTTTCTCTTTATGTTTGCTTTCATGACCTATGTTTGCTTTCATGACCTCCTTCCTATAGAGTATAAAATATCTCTGAGGTACATGTAAACGATATGTTACATTTAAGATATTACGCAAAAGCTGCTAAGTTATTAAATAATGTGTATAACTGCTATTTCACATTCAAAACGAAACAGCACCAAACATGTTTTTCACCATAAAGCAACGTGTTAAAATTACACAAATTATTGACACATGTTTTGTCATATTGACGGTCGGGTCGGCCTAACAACAAACCAGTATTTACAAAGTGCTCTATAAGCTACTAACTACTAATCCTACAAGATTTCTGAATCCGCGGTGAGAAACAAAAGATCGTTTGTCTCTATGTCCAAGATGCATTGTAAATGAGTTATTTCATCTCGCCCGAAGATCGAACGAGGACTCCTGAATAATTAACCTAATGCTTTGAATATTTGGCTAAGCGATCGAAAGAACAAAGTTTTGTACCATTATTGCAGCTTCTCTCATAAATTGTTTTGCGTTGTCATTCCAAATAGCTGGTACTGTAACGACATATTGTATGTCTTTCTCGTTCAAACCAACTGTCTGTTTGTTGATTGCTGTTAGCAAATGATTTCGGAGAAATCTAATAGCCATAGAAAATATCTCCATTGCTGGCATAGCTTTCCCATTAATGTCTTTTACCTTTGATGATCTATTCAATCCCTTTAAATGTAAACAGGGATCTTTATAAATAATTCAAATATACTTTTCCCCTTTCAAAAGCATACATAGTATAGATAACTAATAAACGATGCCTAGTTTCTATTTCATAGTATTAGATGTAGGTTTTAAATTGTGTTCTGCAAAATAGTTCAGACATCTACAAGGGATCCAGATACCCCGACAACATTCAGCCAAATTACCGCTTAAAAGATCGGCAAAAGAAAAAGCGGAACTGCGTTAGGGAAAATTGTGGGTGGTAAATTATTTAAAAATGCAAGTAAAAAATAAATATGAAAAAAATATGAATTTGAACCTTACATGGTGTAATTAAATGGGACGGAAATTAAAGGTTTGGGGATGAGGAAGGGGCGAACACAATGTTAAAGGGAGGTTAAGGGAAAAACTGTATATTTTATGCTTTAAAAGCTAGTAACGGGTTTAATCAGAGGTAATATTAAAACATATTTATTCCTACAAATGTTTATAAAAAGTAATATTAATAAGTTTTTCAATTAGCTGTTCTGATACGGACATAAACATAACATTTCTAAAGAAAAAATGTCACTTTTAAAGTGATGATATTGAGCAATTTGATAGATTGTAAACTTTAAATATATTTACCTCATTATTATAAAGCAACATCTTAAACCTGCGAAATAGCATCCAGCCATGGTGTTTGTTATCTTCGGCAAGATCAGAGTACCTGATCTCTGCCTCAAACCCAAACGAGTCAAACTCCTTACGTTGATTCAGAAGAACGCATGTGGATGTTTTAAGTGATATAAGCTTCTCGCTGCCAGCGTTACACCCCTGATTTGTTTGTATTTTCATCGGATCGTCGCGAAAGGAAAAAGCGTAGCCACTGTATGTTGTTCCAAAGTCAAAAGCTGCGACCAAAAGATGACGGGATGATGAGTGTTTACCTTTACAAGCCATTTCATCTATGAAATCAGATTACAAACTTTTAAAATCTCAAGTTTTATAATTTTGTACATGTATACATTTGTCTCTGCCAATTGAGATAAATGATGCATACTGTAACAAAATATATTAGTTACTCCCCTTGTTTTGATTATAAAATTATCTTTTACATTACACACACTGATTCACAAAATTTAATCACCATCAACCATCGTTTGCTTATTATAACTTATATTTGTAATTTTCATATTTTCTCATGTCCAAAATGTTATGCAATGTTTTCATTTTTGTGATTTTATGTAGTTATATAAGGCTTTTGAACCATCTTATGTACATATTTATATAACGTATATTGGCTGTGATAAGCATTACATCTATTGTTTAATCATTATGTAAATAAAACGTTATTTTACTGTTTTAAACGGCCCATTATACATTTTGTAAAATAGTCATTCATGTATACATGTCATAAATGACATAAACACAATATTTTTATTGTTGCCTCAATTTATGTTGTTATATTCTAGTCAATGTAGTAAATAACGATCTCCGAAATGGCATTTTATCAAGTGTTTTCAAGTGTCAATAATTGTGTCAATAATTGTGTGCAATAAATGCATTTTCTCCCTTCAATAGAAAAAAGTTTGTCTTTTTGCTTCTCATTTTGCATAATTACAGTTTTAAAGCTGCATGCCTTCAGATGAACCAATTTATTTTATAAGAATTAAAAAAAAGTATTCAAGATTACATGTATAGTAAAAGTTTACAGATTATGTGCTATTAATGACTGATTTTGCTGTATTTATCACCATACTTCTACTAAGTGACGCATTAATGGCTCATTGCACATTTTTACCTCTTTCTGACAATTTACGTTGATTGAATGTACCGTTTGCAGTGTGTTAATTACTTTCTGTATTTTTACTGCATGAGCATATTGTGAAAATTGGCTGTTTTCATTGAAAAGTAAAAACTGCTATGAATCTATGAAGATGTTTCAATTATGATCAAATTTGGAACAAATGTTGACTGGACCATCATGCTCAATCTTAATTTTCCTGTTACCAAGGCAGCGGGAAAGACATTTCAAAATTGCCAAACAATCACCATTTTGCGTTGATTTTCTATTAAAACTGATTTCAAAGTGCTGCAACTTCTCAATGGATTGAGATAGAGTCAAAAGCTCTTCAGCGTTGGTTACACGTTACCTAAAGATCGACCTGAGGCCAAATTTTAGTCTTTCTTCTTCGCGATGAGGGCTGCTGATCCCCTTCAAAGCCAGAAGCAAATGGGGACACATGCCCATTCTGGCACCCCCTTGGTTTACCTTTGTAAAGGGAACGCGCCAGAAAAGTGATCACTTTTTAACAACATTTCTCAAAACGAAAACAAGTGTTTGGGTCCAAAAATGGCATTTTGGTTCCAAGGGGGGGGGAGGGGGTTAAAAGCCTTCAAAACAGGTCTATATGAGGTTAAAAAGTAAATACATGAATCTAGAGGTATGCCGCTTTAAGTAAGACGTAAACTGATTCTCGAGAATGCATCTCGTTGAATTGATTAATATAAATGAATTATCACGCTTTACCGATCATCCACATTTCTTGTTACAGATTCCATTCAGTATAAGTAAACCTTTTACTTTACTTTATAAAGTTTGTTACTGTTATTTTGAGATTGATATAACTAGCCCCAGGGAGAACGAAATTAAACTTTACCAACCATTACATGAAGCATATAGACTCTCCAAAAATATTATAAATATAAGGAAAGGAAAGATAGGATTTTTATTTTTTAAAAACATGTTAAAACAGACAGTTTAACCGCAATTGTAAACACAATAAAAAAACTTCCTCGTTCATTCACATTTCTGATTTATTTCCTTTTCGTTAAAGCGCCGAGTTAAAGAAGAAAGACACCACAGTATCTATCGACAAGGTAAATACATTGTTTATAAACTTTCCACTTTACATCCAATTTACAAGGGAACGCTGTGTTTACGAACATTTGATCTTACAATTAAACACCCCAACCTTCACTAATACATGTTATATTTGTATAGTTATCCTCTATAAAGGCAAAAACAGTTACAAAGTTATTAGAAATCTATATTACATTTCAAAAAGAGTAAAATTGACTTACATAAAAATCGAAACCTATCGTCTTCAGCAGTAATGTTCAATGATTTCAACTCTGGATTATTCAATACAAATAATATATCAGGGCAGATTTCGAATTCTCAAAAACCTAAATATAGAAACAACTTCCTGGATTTTGTTTGTAGAACTGTTTAGTTTTTGTGCCAATAGAGACATGGCGTGTATTATATGAATGTTATCATTGAAAAGTAGATTAGGCATTATACTAAAGATCAAGAGGAACGTTTTAATCATTAAACGTTGATTATACGCCTTAAATTTTGTGTTTTGTTTTCTTTTTATAGTTATACGTATATCACCGTGTATATCCAGTAACGTTGACATGTGAAAATGTGAAAGTAAAGCAGCTCGTGCAAAAGTAACAACGATTCTATTCAAAGTTATGTCCGTTGCACGACAACTATAGTTTATAGTAAATCTACATTATCCGCATATTTCAAGGAATATAACACACATTTCAAGGAATATATTTACTTTTATAGAACATTCTTGAGAATACGACCTACTTCCGTATTGAGGGCAACTTTAGTGTTCCGTCGATATTAACTTTATTGTTTTGATATATTTGATATACTGTAGACATTTGTCAAACTATAAATGTATTATAACCGTTAAAACCTGTTTCAGGTACCTTTTAAGAGGAAACTGGCGTTGCGTTAGTGCATATGAACCGCAATCATAGGTCAGATGTTTTTTCCTACCATATTTTAAATGGTTTACCTAAACAATCATTTTTTTCAAGGAAATTAGTGACTATTCATCAGTAACTGTTTCCATAGAGTAGCGTATGAATTTAGAACTTCATTCATTGGTCGTTACGACGATATGACGTCATCTTTAGAACACAATTTCACTCCTCCCCTCCTTATGCCTTGTGAAATTTCCAAATGACCAAAAACGTTCACTGTAGTCAGTGTTTAAAGAAGTAAGGCTTATACATTTGTAAAATATATAACATCATGTTATGGAATTAATACGCATACGAAGAATAAACATCTTTTTAATCGTTTATCAAAGGACAATTGAGTTACTGACAAAAAGGTTAAATAAATCAAAGCATCTATAGATTAAAGATCCTGTATGTTTTGTAATTGCAGTTGTATACCACACTTGCATGAAATTATATATGTATATAATAATGCTAATACAACAGTTTTCAAACATCGAAGAATATGTAAAATATGTACTGCAAATATTTGTACATATCAAATGTAATCATTAAATTACATGCATTCATTTTTCATTGGAGAATTTGACTTAGAATTTATAGAAAACAAATTTCTAATATCCTCCCTTTATTTACATGAAATATTAAATCCGGTAATATCTTTATAAATAATGCTTTTTAGAACTTACAATATTGATAAATCTTAATTTGAGCATCATTATATAAAACCATAGAAAAATGTGTTACAGGATCTTTAATTAACCGTGAGTGTGTTACACAAAACGGGTGAGACAAAGATATTTAAAAAAAAACAACATCTATACAAGATGAAAGTCTGAAGAATAAACAACATATTGTTAAAGAGTACCCTTCTCAGTTCATGTTTTAATTTTAATCAAGAATTTACCATTATGCCAAGCATCCTCATTTGACACTAGCGTTAATAAGTTTCACACAGTCGCCCAAAGTTTCATTGAAGCTTGAGTTGAGATAAATAATTTTTATAAATGAACATGGAGGTCAACAGCTTAAGTTATATGCAAATAGCTCTCTAAATATACAAGTAGAAAACAAGCGTAATGACTTAAATGTTAAATCCTTCAGGTATGAATTAACAATGGACTAATATCGTCATAATAAAGAAGCAAACAGCAGGGTATCCAACTGTAAACGAAATTGATTCTTAGCAAGCAGCATGTTTAAAAATCAATACAAAATAAGACAGATAGATAGACAGAAAGCAGAAGCTTATATGTAGATCAGGAAGACATAAAGTTGATAATATAACTACCCAGAAAAAAATAAATTCAAAATGTAGCAAAACAATCTCAAAACAATGTGTTTCTAACAGTTTTATAGCAGTTTCAGACTTAGTTAAATCATAGATTTATCCATTGAAATATCTTAGCGGTCACAACATTGTACGTACATTGTCAATGTTCGTCTACTATAATAATAACAACGCACACACCCTTGTTTTAGACTGACTACATACAAGATATGTTCGTTATGGCATTTCCTGTTCCAATCCTACAATAATTTATAGCGGTTGAATTCTCTGATGTAACTGACCGCAAATAGAAATGAAATTATACTGTATATTACATAAGGATATGATCAATAGCCTGTTTACGAATATATTTTAACTACTGTCAAAAATATTTATAACTAATATTTTCATTTTATTTATCAGATAGATAGACATTGGCAATGTATTTAGAATGATATAATTATATAACAGCTATAAAAGTATTCAAAGTAGAAAAAAGAACATAACCATAATGAGAAAATTAAACATTCTTATATTTTACACCCATTCATCTGCACACTCTCACTGTAGTCTGCGCTTTTAATATTGTTATCGGCCATATTAGATCACCTTTTAAGTCATTTTCTTATCTCTAAAGTCATTTTAAGCGGGGTAAAAATAAAAAAGTTCGACGTGTAGATTTGGTATAGGTAAATATAGAGTAAAAAATTAAGTCTGCATATATGGAGAAAATAATAATAATAATAATAATAATAATAATTTTCGATTATTGATATTTATACGTTCTTATTCATCATTTCAGTCTCTTTTTCAATGTTGTAACAATATGTTATATATTTTAGCTCCTACACCTGAAGGAATACTCTTTTGCATTTTACATTGATAAATGTACATCTTAAAATAAATTGAAAGAAAATTACAGTTCTGATAGAGGATTTTCATAAGTAAAGCCAAAAATCATTTCATCTGCAGTTAATGATGGAAAAATGTTCTTTTTTGTTTTGAAATAGATATCAATGATGCCCTTTACAAAATTTCATTACCACAACAAATGTTCAATAGTTTCGTTTTCATTTTTACGAAAGGTACAAAAAGGATTATCATAGATTTTTGGGCTTTCTTTAAAGATTCTGTATTTATCTATTTTATGATCACATCCGTGTTATTTGTGCCGTGTGGCGGCTGTAAAAAGTCTCCCCGTACATTTAATCAATGATGTTATATTTTCGATCCTTGAAGATCGTTCAGCACGACATTATTGTTGTGCTTGTGGTATTTTTAGTTTCAACTTTTCGGCATTTTCTAGTTGGGTGGTTCCAATATTCCTACTTGAATAATGTTGAATCACCCTTAGGATATGTTACCTTCTTTTTAAATTTGTCTTTTGACGTCTTATCTGTGATACGCAGACTTCATAACCTCTGATTCCCTTTCAAAATTCCATTTTATTTAGTTTCGCCCATTGTTTTCTCGTTTAGGGCACACGCTTTTTATTACTTGGGGACCATACGCCGCTTTTCATGGAATGGCACGGAAGTGTCACATTGAAGGTTCCATGATAACCGCCGTATGAACACATCTGCGGATGTTTCTAAATTCAAAATTTTACTATTTCACGTTTAAATGTTGAATTCTGCTTAAGCCAGTGCTAGGGGGCGTGGACGGTGACTTGCACTTTCCAGTACCGTCCATGAACAGGCTCAATCAAACCGAGCCTGCAACATTTTCAATTTTGCCGTGTTGGGCTTTCTTTAGGGATTCTGTATTTATCTATTTTATAATTTATTAGTAATTATAATATTCTGTGCCAATTATTCTTTGATCCTCATTTGAAAGTCACTGTAACCTAGAATCTTTTGTTATTTTAAATGGCATTTCTTATATTTCTTTCCATTTGCTTTCTTTAGCCTTTGCATCCAGGTTACTTTAATTGTTGGTTGTGTGTTATCAGTATTCAATTAATTGTAAGTCTGTTTTCATCCCTCATTGTTTATAATTATGTTTTTTTTAAATAAGGCCACAAGTTTTCTTTACGTCATTCATACTTAAATTGAATTTTGTCATCATTTTATTTATCATTTTAAAAAGTTTGCATTTAGCCTGAATATGTTATTAAAATCTTCTAATGAAAGAAAAGCACGGTAAGAATATCAAACATATTTCCGGTATAATATACACCGGCTTTAAACCATGAATTAAGAAACATACTTTTATTGCCAATTAGCAAGCTATTGTTTATAACAAATAATATATTTATAGGTCTTGCAATACTGTTTTTCTGTATGTATAATTAGGCCATAACCATTTCTTAAGAAAATATTTGCTAAAAACAACAAACGCCATAGGAAATCTACATTGTTTTTATTTGAGATTTTACTGTGTACGAATTAATTTTTATTGTTGAAATTTATCAATCTATGGTGCATACTTGTGAGCCGGCATATATTTGACTTATGTAGGCTGCAGGGTCGGTTTGATTGAGCCTGTTCATGAACGGTACTGTCAAGTAAAAACTACCGTCCAAGCCCATAGCACCGGCTAAAGCAGAATTCAAAATTTAAACATGAAATTGTAAAATTTTGAATTTAAAAACATCCGCAGATGTATTCAAACGACGGTTACTTTAATGTGACACTTCTGTGCCATTCCATGAAAGCGGTGTACTGGTCCCTAAGTAATAAAAAGCGTGTGCCCTAAACGAGAAAACAATGGGCGGAACTAAACAAACTGGAATTTTGAAAAGGTATCAGAGGTTATGAAGCCTGCATATTACAGATAAAAACGTCAAAAGCCTAGGTTCAAAAGCAAGCAACATATGCTAAGTGTGATTCAACATTATTCAAGTAGGAAAATTAGAACCTACCAAAGTAGAATATGTCAAATAGTTAAACTGAAAGAACAAGAAAAATAATGTCGTGCTGAACAGTCATAAAGGATCGGGAATATAGCACCTCTGACTGAATTTACGGGCCTCCACACGGCACAAACAACGATGATGTGGCAATCTTATGTGCTTAGATACATATTATTGGATTAGTATGTGCTGTTATATATGTTAAGTTTTATTAAACAAATAATATAGGAAAGGGTATTAATGGAATAAAAAGACGGTAAGTCATAATCAAACTGATATAAAATACAGTCCAATTTTGCTAATACAGATCTATGTGCATATGGTTATGGTAATTAACAATATGTTTCAACCTCATAACAAGTTCTTTAAAGTTTGTATGTCTTTTATTTATTACGGCCGGTGCCACTAGCACCTGACACTCGATCAATACAGGTTCTCTTTGCAGGATATGAGTATCCATAAAAGCATTTGTCATTTCAGACACTAGAAATAAAAAGGTAGTTGAATATATTATGCTAAATAATAAGAAACTAACTTATCCTTTACCATCAATTGCCAATTTTTACATCTATTACTACCTTTAAATAAAGCCCAATCATTTTTTTCTTATTGATTCTACCAGAATCATAATAATGACAACGGTACCAGTGATTACATATTGCTATCCACTGGTCTACAATAATGGGGGATTCCAACTCATAACTCCTATTTGGTGTATATTTACAAGAGCCAAGGTAGAATCTCATTGCTATGTGTTGTATTGCTGCAATATAAGAGAACGACTAATAGTTGCCCCATAAGAGATAAAAAGGAGGTACATATGAATAATACAATTTGGTTAACATTTACACTATAAGCCAACTTTACTTTTGCATTTAGCAATGACAAGCCCCAAGACACGACCATCACTTGGTGCTATTGTTTTTGTAGTGATATTGTATTCAAGATGTTCCGTAACAAAATACTTGCTAGAATAATCTGTAACAAAATTACCACACTTTAAAATGCACAATATTACTTTTTGTAGCATTGACAAACATTCCATTTGCAATACACTTATCATTTAAGAATACTAATCATTTAAAATGATAACATATTTTCTAACTCTGTTTCATTTTGCAATTAACACAATATCATCTGCATATAAAAGTTTAAAAAAAACTCTATACACATTGAGTATGTGATGGACCTACATTGACCCAAATATTACATAGAATAAATGATTCATCCATTAACACAGTGTGACTTAATTGTGCACCTTACATTTTTAGTCAAAAATGATTATTTTGAGCTTGTGTCACACCTACATCAAGTACGTTCCAACAGCAGTGCCTTCAGCACATTGATTAAACTATGCTTCGCAATATCATTCTTCGTCAGAAATCAATAGGTCTTCTTTGGTAATAAAATGTCAATTATGCCTCAGAAATTTATATCTAAAAAAAAGTTTTCTTTTTGTTAATTTGTTACAGATGTATAAAACAATATTCGTTTGCCTACCTCTGCTCCTCTTGCTTTGTTGGCAAGTGGTATAATTGTAGTGAACAAGAGCCATGTCAACATGGCCATCCCCCGCCGAATGTGTTTGCTCATTGGAAGAATGTATATGTAGTACAGCAGAATAATTCCATTTTAGAGGTCTTTTGGTAATGAAAACTGATGGCTATAGTGATTACAGATTTGAAACCTATGTCATTACTGATGGCTGAAAATAACAAAGGGCAATAACTGAAAAATAATGCAGGGTAGGTTATCATTAATGTGTGCTGCATCCCTCCTCAGTAAAATCTATCCACCTATGAAGTTTCAAGTTGATACCTCAAATGAGAAAAAAAAATGAATTGAAAAATTAAGTATGAAAAATAACAAAGGGAAATAACTCAAAAATTATAAAAGGAAGAGTTATCATTCTTGCGCACAGCATTCCTCCTCAATAAAATCTATCCACCTATGACATTTCATGTTGACATCTCAAACACTTTTGAGTTATGCTCCACTCGGGTGAAAAATTAGGTATGAAAAATAACAAAAGGCAATAACTCTAAAATTATGAAAGGTAGAGTTATTATTCTTGTCCACTGCACACCTCCTGCGTGAGATCTATGCACCTATGAAGTTTCATGTTGATATCTCATTGGCTTTTGGAGTTATGCTCTGTACAAAAATCAATTTTGAAAAATAACAAAGGGCAATAACTCAAAAATTATGCAGGGTAGAGTTATCATTCTTGTGCAATGCACTCCTCCTCAATGAGGTCTATCCACCTATGAAGTTTCAAGTTGATTACTCAAATACTTTTAGAGATATGCTCCGGACAAAAATGTCGACGGACGGAAGGTCGGACGGACGGACGGAGATATTTCTATATCCCTCGCCGCCTTTTCGGCGGGGGATAACAAGCATTTTGTTTAGATGTCAAAATACTACTTTGTTTACATTTTTCAACATTTACGACACCTAACTGCAAATTCAGTCTGTTTAACATCCAGCTTGCTCAAATCCATTAGTAAAACATTCTTAAAGACAAGTTTGTCATTTCTAAAAAATTAATAAAAATGGATTTTTATTTCAATTGGCAATATAGAAAATCTCCCGAAGTAAAGTTCTTGACGATACCTCGCGGTGTTTTCTTCTTCTCCGGAATTTCACAAAAAGAAGGAGAAGGAAACTTGTATAAAATCGCCGACGAAGAAGAACAAAAGGCTGCAACTTTTGTTTCACGTTGAATAAAAGGCGGGAGGAAAAGAACATCGCAAGTTTTTCTTCTTCGGTAATTAAAACCACTTATTCATACTTACAATTAGTTCTTCTTCGTCGGAGAAAAAAGAAGCGTCGGAGAAGAAGAAGAAAACCAATTGTTTGTCTTCATCGGAGAAAGAAAAACGTCGAAGGAGAAGAACGCCATTTTTTCTCCTTCGTCGAAATTTACAGTCGAATGTGAAGAAGGACATTAGTTCAGCTTCTTCGGAAATTCACAAAAAGCCGACGAAGGAAGATAAAGTTCTTCTTCGGGGGTGTACTGCGGCTTACTATATGAAATAGTATTTACGTTTGAACGAATGTCACCCGTATATATTTGGGTAATAATGTACACCATAAAATAATCTTTTTTTTGATAGACATCAGTTTTATAAACAAATTAGAACTTTCTGTCATATAATCTTTCCGGGAATCATAAGTAGGTCTTCTCTTTAAGTAGATCCACCATCTTTACTTCAAACGAATGGCTGCAAAAGACGACCTTAGTTCGATAACAATGGATTAATTGACGTACACGTTCCTGACATTTTGCCTCAAACCTTTGACGAAATACATTTTTTTTTTCAACATGACGAGATATGTTAATAAAACAAATATGTTTTGATGAAATATTGCGAATAATAGTAACCAGATGTTTGAAGAAGCTTATAAGTTTGATCCATCTGACAACTTCATTAATGGTATCATTTTAAATTGGTTTATCAAATTTGTAATGAAAGGGAAGTAAGTACGAGTTAAATGCTTTCAATGTTTTAGTTATATAGATCTTTTATATATCCTACAATTTACTTAAGAAAATATATTAGATTGAAGAAGGTGTAGTTTCAATTGCCGTATAGAATTGTAATGGCTTATCTAAAGAGAAAGAAGAGGATTAAAACTTCTGTAATATATTAATTGTATCTAACTAAGATATCTTTTTTTTCTGCTAGAATCATAGTAATATAAAATTCAAAGGATGTGAGGTACACAATTTCTATTGCAAATTGCAACACAAAAAAGCACACCGGAATAGTGGTGGAATTATTTTGTTTTAAAGAGACTTTAAAGCGAAAAGAATTCCAAAAATTAGAAATCACTTTCACACAATCATATGGATATAGCCGATTAGAAAATAAAACATACAATTTGATACTATGAAACTGATGAAGAAGTAGGATTTGCTTGATGACACGTGCTGAGTATAGAAACATTACGATTATTTATTGAAGTGAAGGCAAATGAAATTAGAATCCAGTTAATGTTAAAAAAGCAATATAAATATTTGATAAAAGTTAACGGAATAGGTGTAAACTGATGCAGACGAGAGAAATTGAAGAGCTTTAAAGGAAAAGGTCATGTGATTTTTGGATATACTTTTAATAAAAAAATTCAACTTAACGAAAATATATATGTGCAAGAATTTCATGACTATTTTAAGAACTTATCAGATAGCATTAACACTACAACTCATCCAGATAGCGAGAATTACTGCGATAATCGGTTTTGTTATGCTGATTCTATTTTCGCGGATTTAGATTCTGTAATTACGACTGATGAAGTGCGCGATGTTAATAAGGTGTTTGAAATGAGGCAAGGCAGGTGGGAGAGATGATCTCGTTAATGAATATTTCATTGAAACATGTGACATCATATGGGACATCTACAGGATATTTTGTAATATAAAATTATCGCGCTGGACATGTTCCAAAGTGCTAATTTATACTGAGACGATATGGTATTATTTATGGATTACAACAAGGTTAGATGGCTATAAAATTAATGAAATACACTAAGGACATTGATTTCACCAAAATACAATGCTTATTTATTTGATTCATTTGTTATCTAAATTTTAAGTTCCTCTTCTGAACTTTCGGGTTTACTAAACACAAAGACATTAAAAGGGAACATTTGAAATGTTACCCAAAAAATGTAAATGTAAAATTATCACCCGGTAGTGTAGCTCTATATAGGGAATTAGGGCCATCCATTGTATGTGGTAACTGTTAAGTATTTTCTTGAAGTAAAAACTTACACAATTAAACGTTTAATATTATACAAAATTGGATTCGGTCGGGTATTTAAATTTGTCATATTAATTCTGATTGTTATATTCATGATCACGTGTTAATAGGTTAATAGTATAGGCAACTTAATCCTTAAATTTGTTAGACTGTGTATGAAAATGGTTTTTAGAGTGCTTAACATTACTTTTATTTTGACAACTTTCAAACATTATTGTACATTATTCAATAACGTTCATCTTAAATATAACTCAACGTAAGAATTATTCTCTAATGATTTGAGTATAAAGAAAACCTATTACTGAGTGAGTTTTATTCAACATTTCGTTGACTAGAACCAAGGTGATTAAACCTTCGTCATCAGTGTAGGCAAATATTCTATTCTATATGAAGCTCAGGTCTTGCATTGTAAAATCGAAATTCTAAAGCAGGGAAAATCCATTAACAAGTTCAGAGTGGGTTGGATTAAATATATTTAGTCAATAAATTTGTGTTCATACATTGATAAATTCATTGTCAATTATTTGACGCCTTTACATCCGGGGACTTCTTGCAGAGCATACCAGGATTCTATTGTTCTCGGGTTGTTACAACCGTTTGGACCGCCGTAATAATCACGTGACACCCCCTCGCACGTGAGTTCACAGCGGTATTTCTTTAAATACATTTGCATATAATTCTGAATACACTGTGATGCACATGTAATGTTGTTAGAACATTCCTTCCAGCCTGGAATAGAAAACATAAGTTTTAAATGAAACATCTCTCAAAATTAATTCAAAAGAAAAACAAAGAAAATTAACATTATTCTAAGGGCAATGTTCTTGCATCCAGGTTTGACATTTGGTTACGGTATATTAGATCGTTGCTTATTTTTCTTATATCTTTCAATATCTGAAACAGAAACTTTTACCAAGTTTCAGATAAATTTGCCGTTTCCTAGGGTTTGAAACGTTCCATTGTAGATCTCCCGTTATGTTTGCAGACATTTCGCAATGCTGCAATATTTCCTGGAACAAAGTTGTCACGATTTCTACAGGCATATAAGCAAGTGTACAAGAGCTACATTTGAAAAATATTTATACCACTGGAATCGGAAAATATTTCTATGGAACATATTGTACGTTTACTATTCGACAATTGTGACCTTGACATTGGAGGTAGGCGTCTGTCTGTTATGCACGACACTTTGTCTCGATATTGTGAACATTAGTGCCAAGTATTTTCAAAATCCTTTGATGGATGAGAAAGGTATAGACCAGACACGACATATACTATCCAACAAACACTGTTGATCTTCAAAGACAAAGTGTGTCTTTGACCTTGGAAATAGGGGTATGGATGTCACGCATGACACATCATCTTATTATATAAATAAATATTTGTGCAAAGCTGTTTCAAATTTCTTTGACGAATGGCTTAGATATGGACCGGACACAAAAGACTTAAGTGAGATGGACGGACAGACAGACTGACACAAGACGGAGCCCATTTCTAGATTTCCTTTTTATCCTGTGAAATGGCGGGGTACAATTACTGCATAAAATAGGAGTAAAACAAGAAAATGTAGAAACAGATATAGGTAGATGATACTGCATTATCTTGTAAGAAATTCCTTTAGAAATGAAAGTTACTTACCCAAATGTACACCAGGAAGAGTCTTACAGTCTTTCCACTGGGCTTGTGATAGACGGAAGTAGCCACAATGTAATGATATACCAAATATTTTACACCCAACCGGTTCACAGTTTGACAACTCCTAAAGAATTAAATTAAAATCTTTAAAACTTTAAAACTACAACCATTTGAACTGATTTTATGGTGCCGGTCGTGTACCATTTAATTCAAAACGTGCCTTCATCAATTAATCCGTGTTACATTTCGATTTTCTATTTTGATATGCTAAAGAAGAATCCCATGATTTCCACCATCTAAGTTTTATTGTAGAATGAACTCTATCTAAATCTTGGATTTTAAATAGACCAAGCCATGCAAATCTCGGATGATACAAAATTATGTAAAGTTAACGTTAAAACGAAGATATATTATCTATAATGATTAATTAACATGAAAAATAATTGACTTTCCATAACATTTTAAATGATGTTAATCAAAATGTAAATGGATAAATATGAAATTGATGTTAATCTAATATAAGTGGCTAAGTATGAAAACGATGTTATTCAAATGTAAATGGCTAAGAATGAAATGGATAGATGAAGTGAAACTTCGCGAAATGTAAATATCCTGCTTGTACAAACCAGACATAGACAGCGGAGACAATCGACAGACACCATTCCAGGAGCAAAACTGTAATTTTCCACTCTTCTTTCCTGCGTTTTTGATCCATCTAATAATAACAACAACAACAACAACAATAATAATAATAATAATGATAATAATAGTAATAGTAAAATAATAATGACAATAATACTCGTTATGTATGTTGCTTTTAAATTGCATTAGTAAATTCAAAAAAATAATTTTCTGTTAATTCTTATATTGCTTGGTACATCTCACATTTCACACATTTAAGTGTTAATAGAAGTTACCGAACAAGTTAATACAATATCCTTCATTGATAGTTGACTGTAAAATGTAATTACTACACAATAAAACTACCATTTGAAGATATTGTTTCTAAACATCCAGCTGATAATAAAACTCAAAACTATCTTTAATTCACCGAGTTCTATTATTGCCTCTCATAATTATAGGATGTCTCTGTAATATTTTTGTAGTTCATATGACACGTAACTTATATAGTTTAAAACAATTGTCCTCAACATAATGTGATAACATTAGATCACATTTAGTCTTCTCACCACCACCTCTAAACATGCTCGATATACAACACAAATACCCCTGTCAACTAAAAAGTTCACTTACCAACTTGAATGATAAAACAGTTAAGTTAAGATTTGTCCAAAACGGTAATATTTAAGATACAAATGTATATGATAATCTAAGTGGAGATTTGTCTTTCTAATAAAGTCTTCTTATTCACGGTTAACTGGCAACGTCCACACTTGCCTTTTCCAATGTAACTGGTTAAATACAATAAACATGCCGTTCTTAAATATAGTTGTCAGATAATGAATATAGATATACAAAAAAGAGAAATAATCTGTTTTGTGTAAGAAAAATGTATGATTGTTCTTACTTGAATTTTGATGTATAAACTCTGTTCCTGGTACGATTTTGTCTTCAATGTTTGCTAAACAGGTTTCCATTGTACAAAATATAACAAGACAGACCAGACATAGCAGGGTCACGTGTTTAAAATCCGCCATTGTTGTGCCTGAAACTCACTGTGTCTGAGTAATCCCTTTTAAAAAAATCTTAAATCTGTTAAAAAACTACATATATAACGTTATTGAGCGAATTTTATGAAATAAGGAAGTCCTAAAGCCTGGACTTTAAGTTTACAAGATCAATTTTCATTGATAGAATACAATAAGGAAATTGCATATCTTTGTCACCAATGTATGACAAGGATGTTAAAGGCGGTTCAATAGGTGTCGTCTTATTCACTTATATTTTAGATTTAGGGAAAACATATCTAAGATAATCTAAATGAATACTTCAAGAAAGTACGAATATTATGAATGAAATAGTAAAACAATATATGGTTATATCCTCAGACATTGTTAACTAACAATTATTGTTTAATATTTGCTACAATATATTAAGGGAAGATACACAAGTCATTCAATTAAAGTGACACTATGTACATTAATTTCAAAATGGTGAGTGCACAGGTAAATTAAAAAAAAACAACAAAACATTGCAATATTTATAATTGTTTTCAATTTTGTATTCTTCGTCGCAAAATATGATTTGATTCAATAACTCACGTGACACACAAACATTTCTTTAAATATTCTTCATGATCTATGGGTAACGTGCAATTGATAAAAAGAGTGAGACAAGCTTTTTTATTTAAGACACTTTCTGGAATGGTAAACAGTGTAAATATATTGCTCGCAGCTAACTTCTATATCTTGATTTACTCCACTTTTTATTTATTTTTTTGGGTATGAACATTTTCTTTTGGGTCACATTTATCATTTAGCTTCTTCAGTTTTATTTTCTTGCTTGCTTTAAATGTGTTTTTGCTATTCTTCCCTGCTTATGTTAATATTATCATTTAGTTTCTAGATAGGATGTTGCTTTATTTTGTGATCTTTTGTTTTGATTTTGCTTTTTGTTTTGTTGTTTTTTGCTTATCTTTTCCAGCATGACTCAAGCTAGCTGTTAAATGAGTTCAACTAATGACTTACATGTTTAATACCTTCTGTCTTTGTGTAGTCTGATAACCCATAGTCTTTCATATTTAAATTATATATAAAAAATGTATGTTTTTTTTATTTTTTTTAGTATTTTTATTTATTTATTTATTTAAATAATTCATTAAATTTTTAATTGTTTACTCGGTATATTATTGAACTTTAAGCAAATTTTTAGAAACTAGACATTGCTAGTGATGTAGATTTGGGTAAACTATCATTTTTAGTTTTTTAGCATATAATTCGTTATTATAAATATATCCTAAAAGGTCTATTTTATGCATGTGATGTATATATATCATGTGTAATTATTTTTTATTGTAGCTGTTTTATCTTTGTTTATCTTATGCTTTATGTTATTTACAGTCGGTTATAAAAGCTCCTAGAGCTTATGTTGTAATGTTGAAAACTTGCCGACTTAAAATAAAACTTATCTTATCTTATATATTATCCTTATCACTGAATTTTGTAGCATCATCTTTTAAGATGAAAAATGTATCTAATGCAGTTCAACCTAACAATGAAAAATTGGTATAATGTCACTTTGTCACAACATGAAATATTTACTGTAAGCAAACTTAATGTTTTTTTTAAAATACTTTTTCCTTGACGTACACAAATGTTTAATTGAAAACGAATGCATAATAATAAATAGTTTTTAAATTATAGGGAAAGTTATCACAAAAGACAATGATCCAGAATTTTTAATTTAATCAAAAATAATAAATTTATTAATTCCAGTCTCATCTATATACAACTTTCTGTAGAATACATGTATATAATCATTCTATCAGAATTATAAGATACTGAACATCTTAAATATAACAACACAAACATCAACAAGTAGAGATTTTGATGCTAAAGCATCAAGTCGCCGGATAGAAATATGATTGTATTATCATAAATAAAAGAAAATATCAGTTTAATGGTTCGAGAATAAAGAAAAGAGGAACAATAAGTTGAGTAATGTTTATTCATAAACACGTTTTCATTTACTTGCCACAATTATATCTTTCTTGCTGAGAGTTTTAAGCAAAATATTATCTTCTGTTATAATAAAACATCATATTTGAATCAAACTTGCTTAGCAATTTTGTCAAGAAACTGTTATCATTATTAAATAAGCAAGTATTGTTTGGCAATATTTACCCGAGACTCAATAATTTTCGGGAGCTGTATCGTTTGCTTACATAACTTATTATGATTAATGTTTACAATTTTATTGTAAGCATAATTACATGTATAATTATATCAATTTATACTGCTCGATGGCCTAGTGGTAAGTATGACGAAGTTGTAATCTACATGTAGTAGGCGCAAGTTCGAATATCGGAAAAATCCTGTGTGTAGTTTTCATAAATTGATTTTTATTATATCTTTTAACTTTATGAAACATAAGTTGATAAATCGTGTGTTTCATTTCTAGCACTTTTTTATTTCATAATTTTGGTAAACGGTTAAGTTTTGCAAAATACAAAAAGTATTATAAAAGAAAACATAAAAATTCACTGTCTTCAATTTGAAACTAGTTTAGAATCTAACACCTTGTCACCGAGGCTTGTAAAGCAAGTTATATGATTATAATTATATTTGTAATTCTACTTTATACAAATACCGTTGTACGTATGATTTTTTTCAGCATCCGAAAATTACCGACAAATTATTACCGATCATCGAATATATGCAAAGTGACTATGAAAATATAAATGCTTAATTACTGCATACAACAATGCAATTTTACTGTAAAAGTGGTGTCTGCATAAACAAATTATTCTTATGCACTATCGAAAAAATATATTATTTAGCTGAAATCAATATTCCTGCCGTTACATACGATAAAGTTAATGTTTAATTGCCTTTCAGTGCGATAAACTATCAACGCAAAGATGGTTTATTAGTTTTCTCTGTGTATCCGGTGTCACCTCGGTACGGAATTAGACCCAGCCCGTTGTAGTCTAGAAAGTAAATCTTTAAAATTTTGAAATGGCCTATTTCAAGTCATCTTAATTGATGCTGGTTATATTTTAAGTATATCTTTAGTAATTGTGTACATAAAGTATCATTTCTGAGTACTTGAAAGGTTGATTTTGATGTATTTTTGCAGGATTTCATTTCTGTGTGGAAGGTTTCATGAGGCACTATGCGCAAGAATACACACCAGTTACTATTTTGAATATTCTATAGTGATAACAGATATTAAAAGCTGCAGAAAAACTCCAAGGGCTAATGTATTATTTTTTTTGTGCTAAATTTACTTGGACTGCATTGGTGTTTAAAAAAATGGTCATGAAGTTTCGGTACCGGATTTGCTTTGTCCAGGATTTAGCCTTAAATGTGATAGGATATATGGGTCGAAAATTCAGTGGGCCGTCTCCATCCAATACGATTCAGACCCCTAGTGTCATACCGAGATTTTTCATACAAAATTACTTTGATTTGCACTTTATCAGCTGCCAACCATTCACATGTTACCTGTATGTCTATCTTATCAGCCATTTGTTACTATTAATAGATTTCATAACAATAACATACAGTGTATAGTCACGTGATTCTGGGAGAAACTGTTTATAATAAATAAGATGAAAATAAGTCTCATAAGATTCAAACAACCAGATTATTAAAGAGTGTCATTTCAAATATCATGCATGATTTATTTCTCATAAAATAGCAACGCTTGACACTTTTAAAAAAGTAAAAGAATCCCTAAATTGCTGGTCCATAGGGATACGTCATTAATTCATTTTATAAATATTGCAATGTTGCTTTTCACGATGTCAGTATTTGAATATTTCATTTCATTTAGCAACATTATTGTATGTTTGAATTTTCGAGATTACTGAAAACAATTGTAGTCTTTAATTGTCTAGTAATTATTATGCTTTTATTTACAGAAATTAATGCCTTCTCCTATCATAGGTATAATATTAAACTATTACAAATATAATCGCCGGCTTTACGAACTATCCATCATAGAGTCTCCCACTTGGTCCGTCAGATGCAATCAAAAGAGGAAAGCGTAGTGTCCAACTGTAAAACATGTTTATTAGTCCACTACCGGTTTACCGGAGGGGACTTTAGGTTTACCCTTCGTCCGTCTGTCCGTCAGTCCGTCCGTCAGTCCACAAAACTGGATCCCGCGATAACACAAAAAGTACTGAAAATATTTTAATGAAACTTGGTATATGGATGGATGGCAGTATGGAGATTATGCACGTCTTTTTCTTTTCTTCCTATGTTGAAAATTCTGGTTGCTATGGCAACAAATAGACTGAAAATATGGCAAATTTTACACATAACCTGGATCCCGCGATAACGCAAAAAGTACTGAAAACTTTTTTATGAAACTTTATATATGGATAGATGGCAGTATGGAGATTATGCATGTCTTTTTTTTCCTATGCTGAAAATTCTGGTTGCTATGGCAACAAATAGACTGAAAATATGGCAGATTTTACACATAACCTGGATCCATTGATAACGCAAAAAGTATTGAAAATATTTTTATGAAACTTGACATATGGGTAGATGGCAGTATGGAAATTATGTTCATCCTTTTCTTATCTTCCTGTGTTTAAAATTCTGGTTGCTATGGCAACAAATAGACTGAATTTCAAGATTTCTGATTCTAGTTTTTAAGTTTTTTCACTATAAGTTCTTTATTTCTTAAGGTATTTTCTTCAAACTTTAAAAATAAGTTGCTAGTCATCAACCACATCATATGTGACAAAGTTTACAACTCTAGCACAAAATTTATCAGAATTACCTCCCTGAGTTCAACTTGAACTTGAAATTTTCATGAAAAAAAACATTTTTTTTTTTAATAACTTCTTTTTTTCTGAACGTATCTACTTCAAACTTCATATAAATGTTTCTTATTATCACTCAACATTTGTGAGTGTTCAATACTCTAGCAAGACTATTTCCAGAATTATGCCCCTTTTGAACTTAGACTTTTTTTTTGAGAAATTGGTAATTTTTACTCCAACTTCTTCAATCATGATAGAATTTTCTTCAAACTCCCACATCATTATAATATGACAAGGTTTAAAAATCTAGCATCCATATTTCCAGAATTATCTCCTCCTTAAACTTTTAATTTTTACTATTTGTTCTTTTAACTTTCATTTACTTCAATTTCAAAATAAATATTCAATATTCATACTTTCATTACTAATTGTTCTTTGTTACACTCACATCATGTATGACATCGTTATCTCCTTTTTTTTAAAATTTTGCTTTTAA